CATTTATCGTACTTTAATAGATCACGATTATGTGTTATTTAGTTGTCCGGCTACGGTAGTTTTTTTCCTTTTTATAACTTTGAATATAAACGTTTGTGACCTTAAAAGATGTCGATATGTTGTGCCATTTGACCAGCGTTTCTGTATTACGCTTTTTCGAGTACTGACGATAATCTGTCGTTTTCCGTATCATTTATTTAATCACTGGTGCATCGGTCGATTCGGACCAGAAGCCTGAATAACGAAAAATGCTACCTACAGCGGCATTTTGCCAAAGAAACAATCACGAAAGTGCAACCTGCTTGGAAGTCACTGAAAAAGTACTTGTGAAGTACTCTGCACGTATCATAAAACTCAATCAGGACATTTACCTCAAGTGGTCACATGAACGAAATCCACTGAAACAAGGAACAGTTCAAGCTTAGTTGTTATTTCGTTTTGCCAACTTTATCCGTAGCTAACAGAGAATAAACAGCAGAGTAATCCAGATTTATAATGTCTAACCGTTAAAAACGGTATTTCAGATTGAAATCAGGCACCATTCATCGTTGTGGCAAGGTAGTATTCCTCTCAACAAGCAGGTTTCTCTAAAGGTTATAAACTTTACTCGCTCGACTGCAAAGCATTACCGGTACTCTGAGATTAATATGTCTTATTTTTGGCCTACTTTTGAGTTGGACAGTTAAGTATCTGGAAACTCTTGACATAAACAACTTGATTACTGCCTCTACAAGTGAGTAGAGTACATGTGGTTATAGCTGTTGGTTCTTTTGAGTCTTCAGGGCAAGATCCACCCAAGAAAGTTGTTCACTTTATGTACTTATCTGAATGACCATGAATAGGAAAGAATTTTTAAACGTCTGTAAGCTTTATGCGTTAAAAATACGATATTAAGTGCATATTAAACTTCGATGTTTTAGCACCATGATTGTGCATAGAAAAGAAGGCGGCAACCAGATCACTGTTAGTATCGCGCATGCCTTTTAATAGGCTAAAAAATACTGCCAAAGCTCTCATAGCCATGTTTGATGTAAAGGCATGTTTTTCTTGTTTTCGCTCCAGTCATAACTTTCTTCTGTGAGACGACCCTGATTGAAAATAGGCGTATTTTTCTTACTCCCTCACGTCATTCTTTACAGTCTATCATTTATTTCGCATCGCTCATGAATCAAACAGCTGGATGATTTATCACTGAATTTCAGTGTCAAATGCAAAGATTTCCGTTCCCACAGAGCATTTCTTAGAAATCGTCGGAATGGCACGTGAATAACAATGATGAGTAAACAAGTTGCTAACTGGTTTTGCTTTCGTCACCAACCACCCATGGTTTCTGACGTAAAGCATAGAGCTGACGGCCACGATAGATCGCCAGGCTTGTTCGTTAGCACCATTGGTTGAAAGTTTTGGGTTGGAAAATATGGGCGGAACAAACCTTTGATGGCTTACTGTACGTTTCCTTAAGAAAGAAAACTTGGGTGCAGTTCGTTAAGAGATCCCTAGAAATACGCAACAAGGCAATACCTTGAATTAGGCACAAAATTACTCCCATGGAATCTCATTTCCTGGAGGGCGTCACCTCCTTTCTCTTTGAGCGAGCAGTGAAGGATATAGCCTCAACTGATCTGGTGGTTAAAGATGACGATCATTGGTACAAATAAGCTCAATGGAAAATTTTATTTACGGGCTTTCATGTTGTATATACAGGGTTCAAAGCCTGTGTTCACACAGACGATATGTTTCAGCGATATTGTCTCTCTCCAGTTGAGTAAATATTGTTTTCTGGCGAGAGCCACGGTGCTTTCTACTTGCCAAAGTGGCGGATGACACGCTGGTGCCCTGGGTTGTTTCAAACTGCCCTGCAGTGTGGTTGGAAATACTAGCGAGGCCAATAATGTTCACGTATGTTTACCTCTTGACATCATCGATGAAATATGAATATGATGATTTCCCTATGTGGAAAAGATGATGTGCTCTAGTGTAAAAAACCGATTGAAAACACCGTTTTTCCTACGCATTTTTTTTTTATTGTCTATGTTATCATTACCGGAAAAATAGTGAAATTCACGTACTTCAGGGGTCGTGTTTACCGGTGACTAAAAGTAGGAGGAAAAGATTGACCAACCAATCGATATGGCTAGCGGTGTTTTCTTGGAACTATCCTGAGACATTTCACTACGTAAAAGCAGAATGTTCAAATGACGCCGTTTGTGCTAAGATGGATTTTCGTCCCCTGCTCACCAATGGTCATGAGTTTTGGACCACGACTGAAAGACTTCGATCATGGCTACAAGCGGTTAAAATGGTTTCTGAGACGAATCGTTGGGTACAGGCGACTCTACAGGATCCGGAGTTCAGATATCCGAGCAAGAATTGGTGTACAACCCCTGCCTCTCGAACCAGAGAAATCACTGCTGCATTGTTTTGGCACGTTTTGTAAATGCCTTCCACCACAAAGGAAAGCTAAATGGCAGCTATTTGCTTAACCGATCAGCCGCAGATCCCGGAGAAGCCCAAATACGACCCTGAATAGTGCCTCGACGGACTCTGCTCCAGACTCGGATGAATTTCTGCTGAAGCTCCGGCGATGACACAGGATCGGGAACGTTGGAGACACTGTCTGACACAGCTGCATCCGCGACTCGAAAGGGTAAGGAACCCTCGCAATTGATGGACTGACTGACTGACATTAATTTCAGAAATTGAAGCTGTGGATTGTGTTCAGTCCTTCTTCAGAATTGTCAGTGGAGCACCTTAATGGCTTCATAAGGTACTTTTAAGGACTAAGTATATGAATAAAGAGACAGTAAAACTTTGTCTCTCATTTCAAGTTTTCACGAATATGAGTACGAAACAGTGTAGTGATCACATGGAAAAGCGAGGCATTAGTGATGCGTTCTCTCTCATCATTGCAACAACCATGAAAACTTCGTTAAGATCTGACATGGTCAGCTGACAAGGGAAAAATAGGCCTCCTCATGTAGTTGAACAGCTCCAATATAAGCAGAAGCACCCGAAATAGCAGGAATTTTTGCATCGGCATAAATTGCTTCGTTTTCCGGTTACTTTACAATGTAACATTTAGCATTTCAAATGAAGATCTCATCGCATATCAAAATCAGAAGCAATCATAACGAACGCATCTGAACAACATTTAAAACTCAGAAAGGCGTCTTTTTATCTTTGATCGAGTCACGAGTCACTCGTGCTTTCAGAAGCGAAAAATATTGCGTCTTACTTGAGATCGAAATGCCGTAGAGCACCGCCTCGCCAAACAAACATCCGAGGACAAGAAGAACCAACGACAAATGCATAACGTTGACTTGATATTGCTGATGTCACCCAACTGTGTGAAACGCAGGTCCGGTTCGCCTTAAGTCTACTGCGTCGCCTGCGTTCGAATCGGATCGACAACAAACAACAAACTGGTCTTGTTATTGAATACGCTGGCACCTGTGACGATGAACCAAATTACACTCGAAGGCAGAGGTAGGGAAGCACTATCACCTGCTTGAGATGCTATCGTGTGACAGTCAATCATCACAACTGACAACGATAACGAGTGACTCGCTGTTGATTCGTTCGTTGTCCGTTTTGATCAGCAGGTGCTCTTGTTTCGCCATGAGAACACAGTGGGTTTTCAGCATGACCTGAGGGTACAGATATTCGGAAGTAGCCTCGGCAGCAATCGTGTTATCCACTGTAGCATGCTTGGAAAGCGTACATTTCAACAAAGAGGTTCCTGTTAACAATCCGTATCTTAGCTATTATATTTACAGCGTACAAACACAGGAAGGGTATTATATTCTAAAGCATTAGACGATAATGCTATTTGTTTTTATGGCGTTATAACATGCTAGAGCTTCACTGATGCTGATACTTTATTGTCGATTAGCAAAGTACTGCTACAGACTACAAACGATATGATACGCAATAATTCCTTGGAGCCATGACCTAGTTACATGTCGAATCTGCAGACCATTACGGGTAATGAACGATTCATGAAGCAGTATAAATCGGTGGGGTATCAAGATAGCTCTCACATTCGAACCTATATTTTAAGAAACTACGCAGCGTGTGGGTGCATTTCAAAATATAGTTGAGTAACGGCAGCGAATTGTCTTTGAACTTTATAAATGCCCGGTCTGAATCACAGTTGAAAGTAAATACTATATTAATAACTGCATCGACAAGGAGTTGAGAAAGAAATATTTTTGGGATTACCGTTTGCACTGATTATCAGACGAGAGGGTCAGCTATCAAGTGAGTCAAACGAATCATTGCCTTAGCAGGCCATTGCATCACATAACATGGTTCTACCAGAACACCATGCTATCCTTATTGCTCGAAGTCAACGGTTCGGTGCAGTTTCTCAATTGGATACCCGGAAGAAACATTTGGAAATTTCTCTGCTCAAGGGAATCAGCGATTAGGACTACTTTGGCTCCTCCTCAACAGTTGCCGAACGGTTAATCACTATTTTACCTCACCAAAATTTAAGCATATAATTCGTCCCATTGAGGTTCAGTGCAATCAGCCATGAAACAGTTAGCAACTCCGATGTTGCTTCGCACTGGGTGAAGGTGTTTGCTCAAATTTCTTATAACCTGCTTCCATGGGGTTTCCAGAACTTCAATATGTTTTCACACTAAGAACCTACTTAACCTGCTCTATGACTCCTATTGGTTTATGATTATTACTGCATTACCTTCATCTGCTGGACGAATCATGATGGAGAGATTTGATGACAACACTTTAATTGCGTCGTTTCGTTCTTTAGGAATATTCACTTTTGTCGTTGGAGGTCTTCGAAGAATGTGGCCGATCTTCTAATGGGTGTCATCTGTTGTGCCTGGATTCAAATGTCAGACTGAACACAGACGAAAGGTCTGACGAGATTACTAAGGAAAGGTCTGAACTTTGCCATTGCGCAAAAGAAAGTTGCATCACTAATGTGTATTCGTGCAGTTGAAACTGAAATCTGTTGACACTACATCTGTTACGATAAGAAAGCAGCCATTTTCCAGTATTCTCTGAACATCAGAATTCCGTGGATCTATCGATTCAGCTCACGATTGAAGTCGTAAAGTACAGCTCTTTCTCGTTTTAGACTACAAACAAATGCAAAAAACGATGGAGCAATAAAAGCCTCTCTTTATTGCAAGCCCAATCACACGGTATACCATTGCAGTTCAGCTCTATTCATTCGATATGGACGAAAGCGGGTGTGGTCAGAAGAGCAATAAGGAACCGGAATATCTCTGTTCAACCGTGAACACGAACGCTCACTCCGGCATCGACCGTCCGGCGTTTCAGAGTCGATTACACGTGTGCCGGAAAAGGTAAATATCAGGAACGTCCTAAGATCAAACGAGAAATTAAGATCTTTGTTGATGAAGACTAAGAACAAAATAATGAACGAAGTAGTGAAATTTTAGTTGCTCAAGTTACCAACGATCATATCTGATCAAATCGCCAGATTAACATAAACTAATATAGTAGAGCATAAGGGAGCAGCGACCTTCGTGAATCCAACGATCGAAGTAAAGCGACACTTGGGAAAAAGCTCAGCAGCGGCCCAACCGAACATGGAATCGATTTTAACTGTTCAATCATTGTAAAAACCGTTGGGGGCTACAAAAAGCGTTCCGTTGCCAAAGCGCTCTTAATCCAGACACGAGCCAACGTCATGAACAGAGATGGAGTAACTTGAAGGCGTAACTTTTGTAAACTTCAGACAAAATGCAGAAAGCTAATTGTAAATACAACTTGACAATCTCATATTACCGTATCGCGACATGGCACAATAATTGATTGAAAACGGTTGGTAATATCAGCCGAAACCCTTATTATTTCGCCAAATTGCCTTACTGATGTTGGTATAAATCTCCATCGTTTCTTTTCCATTGGTAACATCCGAAAACTTATGCATCACGTGACTCCCACGTGATCGCTATCGGCATATTAATTCACATGATAATAACCGCTAGACAGGCGACCGTCGAAATATCGACGAAACTGAACCAGTGATTGGCCGATTGCGTATCCGTTCTTGATTCAAACATCGATCAGCGGAGGCCAAATACCGATTCAGACGAAAATATTCCATAACACTAATTACAGCTTATGTTTACGATGAGAAATTCAGGAAGACGACAGTCGTTTCTGCGCCATATTGCTAAGTCAGGAGTCACTTGTGATGAAACTGACGTAATTCAATTTCGAACGCCGGTTTCGATGTTTGATGAATGAGATCGATGTTTCTTTCATGAATGTCGCTAACCAGCGACCATCGGCGTTGAAGCGTTTTCGTTTTCCGTTATACTGATCCGTATAGATGCCAATCACCAGCGTCAGTCTGATTGAAAGCATGAAACAAATCTTCTACTCGTCTATATCCGTAAACGGAGCAGTGATAATGATAAACAGGCTCGGTTTCCGGCAGCTCGCTGCATTACTTTACTGCAATAAATGAATGCACAGATATGATGACATAAGCAGAGCTTTGAAAATATAGCAAGAGCCAAAACGACAGCAAACGAAGATATGCGTCGATGAGCATTTAAACAGCAGGCAATTATCTGAATACCTCTACTCTCTGAATTGCTGCCTTGCCGCCCCAAGGCCATATAGAGTGTCAAGTCAAGTCAAGTTTACTGCTATAGTGGACAGCGTCCATCTTCTTTCAGTGTCAATTTCTTTCCGCAAACCGAACATTCCCATAGATGATCTTAACATTTAAAAAACTGTAACGCTTCAAACCGTACAGGTCCAAAATACCAACATTAGACAACTTTACATTAGCCATTACCCGAAGACATACCTCTAGATGCAGTACTCACCGACTACCAGTTGATGATTTTCTTAGGGACTAATAATGACAGTCGGTGACTTCCGTTCATCCGTCTGAGGTATTAGTCAAAATGTCTTTCTTCTAAACACGCTTGTTAAGACAGAAGTTTGTTAACTTTCTAATTATCCCCATATCAGTGGTTGTCGCTTTCGAGGTACATGAGCGATATTCATGAGTGAAAATTATCCATAATACTTTACTTTGTCCTGACACTGGGTTTATCATATCAGCTGTTCATTACAGGATAGTATTTCGTAGTGGAAGATTTTGTTGCTTTCATGATCTGATTCCTGTTTTTGCGCTGAACAAATACCATTAACTTATTGTTATCGGAGGAGCGAAATTATAATCTTATTCGTAGCTATGCCTGAAACCTTCAAAGCCTCATGTTTTGATGGATGTTTTATATCTACATATAAAATGAAGATAGAGTAATTCGTAACTCCGCCATGGCCGGTCCCAAGCCCGGATGAGAAAGGAGGAGGGTTGGAGACCGTGGCAAGTC